ATAAGAATGGAGACTATTTCATTTAATAAATGGTTTGATATACAAGTTGTTCAGGTTTTTTTCATCTAAAAAAAAGTGACATTTGGAGTATTATGTTCAATTTTAGGCATCTTACCTTCATGTCAATGAAATACTAACATTTTTCTTACCTGAAAATGTCCTTCAGATAGATACTCACCTCTCTGCACCACAAAAAATATATATCTTCACATGCACTGCCATGTAATTTCCTGCACATACCACAAGCCTTTAACAAAGTTCCACACTTAACCATGTCAAAGTTTACTGTGCCAGCCCATGATGTATTTATTACTAGACTATATCCCTCAACCAATAGGATGGTGACACACCCTCCATTCACTACAATCCCCATGAACACTATCATTTGAACACAGGCTCATTCTTGATGAGGTAAACTAAATACACCAGAAGTGGGAAAGAAGAGTGGAAGATGGTGTAGAGAAGTGAGTACATATTTGAAATACATTTTCATGAAAAGAAAATATTACTCACCTCTCTGTATCAAAAAGAGATTGAATCCCACATTGAAGATGGTGGAGGGACAAGTGCAAAGAAAGAATTACAAGGATGAGCACCGTTCTGAATACAGCATCAGGAAGGGAAAGCCTATGGTGAGTGACATCCATGAAAGAGAAGAGGTAACGCTTGGTGGGAAACTGCATCTAACTCAAGAAGGGAATACTATTTGCCCAAAGTTATTGAGGTATTAGTTGTTAGGATAGGATATAGAACAAAAAAAAAGAAGCACAAGAATCTTTTGCATCATGCCTAAGTGTTGCTAAAGTGGGCAGAATGAAAGAGTGGTTAACTGGTCATTATCTCACAATTGGGCAGCTGAGCATAAGTGTTGTGTGGTTAGGGTTATAACTCAGATTGGTCCGTACAGGAGAAATACTTACATGAGATACTCATTACACTAATCATGTGCAGGGAAAAAGCATACCAGAATTGTGTCCTAAGATAAACCTAAGATCCATCCAGATGGACCAAACCACCAAGAGATGGCTTGGTCCAAATTGTAGTGGGGTATCCTGTGATTAACTACCAGATAACACCCTATCCTTACTTCCCAAACAAGAGGTGCATTCACTAGGTCTCATACTAATGGGATTGCACTGCCTAATGAGGAATTACCCATATTAACTTCCCCAATGGCTTGAGACTGAGAAAGCAAAGGTTCTTCCATATTCTACTAAAAGAAATGAAGAGGGAGGAATTTGCATGGAGGAGAACACCAAAAAGGTGCTTGGACCATGTTATCAGACATAATCATCTGGAATTAGGTCCCCTCACTGAGAAACAGTACAATAAATTACTGCAACTAAATAGAGCAGGTATGAACCAAGGGTGATAACAGGATAACATTTGGTGCTGTTACTTTTTTTTTCACAAGTGTAAAATGGCCTGGATGGTAAAATATAGACATCACTGAAACATTATTGTAGAAAAACCCCATCTCAACAGCAGGAAATGAGAGGGACAGATGCACTTAACATCTTCCATAATCCCCCCCCACTCAATGCTAGCTATTCGTTAAATTCCGCCATATATATTTTTTAATAAAATAGTTATGAGACCTGAAAAAGAAAGGAGAAAAATAAACAACTTACCATCACAGCTACTGTGAAGAGTTGAGAGTGGCAAAGGAGAGAGACAAAAACCAGGGTTGATGAAACTTCCCATAGTGTAAGTAACAAGAAATAACATGGGGTTCATCCACATCCTTGCATGCAAAACCTCATACAGGGAACATCAATGACTAGAGGTAAGAAAAGCTGTGAGATGGCCAATGTAATGGGAGAAGAGAAGGGCCATCACCCATAAAAGAATAAACTAACCAGACAAGATGTTTAACCCAACTATGAAAAAGGAAGGAGATAAGTTACAAGAAGAATTCTATGGTATGAAAAGACATTGGCCAATACCCTAAAAGGGGGCAAAATGAGTGAAATAATAATGAATAATCCATGCAGAACAAAGTAGACAACATGGGTTGGAATGACCATACAGGGAAGAAAGAGAAAGGAGGAAGTATGGAGAAGTATCACCCTTCAAAGCTACCAAAATTTTGGAGTGATCATGGAAAAAGTGAATGATGACTCCCACAAGGAAGAAGAAGAAAAAATATGTCTGAAGCATATAAAAGGAGGCTGAACCATTCTGCACACAGAGCACTCTCAACCAAAGCTATATAGTCTGGGATTGGATACCAAATGAGTGGTAGTGAGGAGAAAGAGTGGTGAGGCAGTAGTGACAGGATGCTCATAGTAAGAGCAAATCCACTAAAAACACCAGAAAATAGAGAAACCACTGTGTGGGAAGGATCCAGCAGGATAGTAAATCCACCATCAGGGCCTGAACTTTCAAGACATGATAGAATGACAACTGAACATAGTAGTCGTGGGCATAAAATAGAAATTTCCAGAGCCAGGAAAGCAGAAGTCTCAAGAGCGAGTGCTTCCCTGTCAAGGAAAGGATGTTTTTTTTTGTTTTTTTAAATTTTGCACAAAGATACACAAGGGCTATCTGCGCTAACCATCCCTAATTTAGCAGTGTAAGACTAGAGGGAAG